AAAAACTAGATCAGAAGGATGGCAACAAGGTTCCTTCGTAATTGTTAAAATCTACGGTAACCATGGATAAACATGAAGCAAAGAAAATAAAAGAGACAATAACATGTGTTGAGATTTGAGACGGTGTAACCTTGCCGTCAGTGCTGCGACAGAAGATCCCCGGGTGCTGCTATGTTTTTTTGGGCAAATGAATGATATACCTTGATACCATTGATCAATATTATTGATCAATCAATTATGTTGTTAAAGCACAAGAAGTGTTTCCAAGAGCAAGTCCTACCCGTTTAATTCCAAACACAACATTTCGTGTACTTTTGCCAGCAGTCTGCGCTCATATTTTGAACAGCTTTTCGTGTTCGGTTAATTAACTGCTGCTTAATTTGAACCGGTGTTTGGAAGATCAGAGATTTAACGTGTTCTAGTGTCCTGAGTATATTACATACATGGTAGGAATATAGGCTCTTCCTTGGGGTACTAATCGGGACGATTAAGTATCCGGTGTTTGAAACAGAGAAGCTGTTGTGCAATGCTTCAAGTACTCCTGGAAAGCTCAGCTTCAATTATCTCCAATACCTCTAGGTCTGGACCCGAGCACTTTTACATTGTCCACTATCTATGTCCGTTTCGGGCCGCTCGTCTAGAGTGTAGACCTTTGCTGGTGTAAGTTCTAACAGCTTCTGCTGTGTTACTATGACATTTTCCCATAACTAATCGCATATTTGTAAATTCGTTGGTTCGACTTGTAGAAATTGTAGAAGAGTACTTTTTTAATATCAAACATTTTAGTAATTTGGCAAAAGGTCTTATTTTTCTTTTAAAATGCTGAAGTATTCCAATAGGCTAGCAATCAAACGTGGGACCTTTTCAAAATAATACATAATAACAAAGTTGAAATTCGACCTTCAAGTGGTAATATATTCTTGAAATTTTCGAAAAAAACATTTTCAATATTTTTTCTCGTACTCTCTCAGTGGGATCCTATATAACCTTAGAAGGAATGACGCCAATTTTGAATAACCCTGTATAAATAGATAAGAAGGCGAAGAAGACAAATGTTCTATAAAGAACAGAAATTCATATTTTATTAGAGATTTTAAACTGAAAATTCAGTTTTAAAAGTTCATGTTATAGTAGTACTGGATATGTTTTCCTGTTCTTAAAACTAAAAGGCGTCATTCAATTATTCAATTGTAGTTACGATGAACAGCTGATATGTTTAGGGTATATTTACAAAAATCAAGGTAAATGGTTCACCCTTAATGAATACACATGTGAATTGACTACAGTACACAGAACAATCAATGCCGATTGAACCTCTACATTTAACTAAAAGAGCTTTAAATCCCTTCAACAATCAACTAAATGGAGAGAGTATAGACCTTAAGTGTCTCCCGTTTCGTCTACTTACTTAATTTTATTGTCACGGCTACATTGTGATTTACAGTACTGTTTCACCACACTTTTCTATTTATAAAATCAGATGTATGTTATTTAATTTGTTCACAGTTCGTTTTTTGTGGAAACATAATCAACAACTACAAAATTAACCGAGTAAAGTAAAAAATATATGGTACCAGACAAAAGGTGTTCCAATAAGAGTGCCGGTATTGAATTGCGCCGGTTTTGAATGATTCAGGCAAACGGAGTATGTAGATGGCGTAAAAATAGAAATACGCTTTTTCCTTGGTGGTTCGTCTGCAAATGTCGCAACGGTGCCTGCAAATATTGAGGAAAGATAACCCACATCAATGTGGTATAGAGCTCGGGAAAGAGGTGTTTTCAGAACCAGTGCACATCAAATTTTGGAATCGAATAGCTTAATTTCATAATTTTGTAGAATCTAGAAAAGAGGGAACAAGCCTTTGTTGATTGGATTTGGGAACGACAATTGAAGGGTGATTTATCAACGAAAATCGTCCGAAAATCCACTAGTGGTTGTTGAGGAACAGATGAAGCAAAAAATATCAGTTTGTTGTGCATTGTGGGCTGGAAGCATTACCGGGGTATTTTGCATCGAAAATTAATTTGTTAAGCATTTACTGTTAATCGTGTTTGTTATTGTTAACAGCTACTAACTCTTTGCTCGAAGTTGTAAAATACGGACCTCCATGGCATTAAGATTCAGCAGGACCGTCCAACATGTCATACGTTGAGAGAAACTGTTGAAATACTGCACTTACAGCCTGACCGTCTAATTTCTCGTTTTAAAGATCGCATTCACCTCCCGGATCATCCGATTTAAAGCTTGGGAACCCCAGAAAAGCCAATAAAAAGATGGAACAGAATCACCCAAGTTATTAGAAATACCAGTGACGAGTACCTGACAAAGATACGTGTGAAGAAGAAGGAACGGATGAGAGACGAGATCCTTATCCTAACGGATCAGAGCCGAATACTCAAAAATAAAAATATGGAAGAATATCGTTCAGTACACACGACAATAAGACAGAAAATCAGTTGTTGAATGACTGGCAACAAGTTGCAAAATGACTGGCAGGGAAATGTAACGAGATTGAGCAGCTAGACAGAATGCATGATCATTTAAATACACACATAAAGATAAAGAAAATTACATATACCGGGAAGAAAACCACCCAAGAAACTCTGGTAGACTATCTAGAACATGCATAACAATTAATCGCCTGGACTTGATGAAGTTCGCGTAGTACTGAAAAACAATTTCAGCAAACAGCTACTTGTATCCAGTGCTGAAGGTATACCGCTTCAAGACGTTTCCACGTCGTTCTATTCTGGGCTTCTTGGATCCAATTTTCGAAAATTTTTTAGATGTGATCGGTGCACCAGGTCGGCGGTCGGCGGACCTCCACTCCTTGTATCTGGTCTTGGTCTCCATTCCAATCACTTTTTGTCCATCTGCCAACGAACATACGTGCCACATGGTCAACTCACCGCCACTTATCTCAATTTATATAGTCAATTATGTCCTGTGCTCCGGTTCGTTGGCGGACGGTGACATTTGGAATTCTATCTCGTCTTGTGAAGCCAAGCATAGCTCTTCACATTGGCCCTTGTGTTATTCGCAACTTATGAATCTATCACGTCGCCAGTGTGAGCGTTTTTGCGCCATAAGACATTGATCGCAAACTTTCCGTTTAAGAAAAATCGAGACATTACTTTTGAAAATATGTCAAAGTTTTCCAAATGCAGCCTTTGCATTCTATAGCCTATTCTTCGTTGTGTCACGCAAGTTTGATTATCTCTACCTAGTCTGATTTCATGACCCAAGTATTTATAATCGAACTTGTTCTATTTGGTATCCGACACTTTCTAATGTGACACCGAGAAGAAGATTTGTGATAGGTTTTGTTTTCTGCATGTTCATGTTTAGGTCTACTATATTTGGAGCTTCTCTCAACTCATCCAACATTTGTCCAGCATCATTAAAATTGTGTGCCAAAAGTAAATGTTATCTGCGAAACGGAGATGACAAGGTCTCTCGCCGACATTGTTTACGCCTCTGGTCTCGCAGCTCAGTGTTTTAAAAACACCTTCGAGAACTGCCGTGGAGAGTTTTGGGGATATTGTGTCGCCTGCCGGATACCACCCTCTATTTTGAATTTATTTGCTGGTTTATGAAGCATTGTATTTGCGGTTGCATTGACGTATTGGAAGAGCTCTGTATATCTGTAGTATATACTACTTTACCTCAAAGCTACCAATATTGCTGTAAAGCTGACTGTATCGCAAGCTTTTCGGAAATCAATAAATATAAGTACAAGTAGCGTACTTTTTTCAACAGTCTTCTCCATAAGGGTTCTGACAACTTGAAAATGCTCATTCATTCCATAACCAGTTCTGAAGCCAGCCTGCTCTCTAGGTCTCTAGGAGATTAGTTTGGTGAAAAGTTTATAGAGATGTGACAAAAATCTGATAGGTTTATAATTACCAAGGTCTGTTATATCACCGTGTTTATGTAGCAGAAGAATTCCAGCATTATTCCATGTTCTGGGGATAATACGGGTATGGCTGCATAGATTGAATAGCCATTCTAACGTGTTGATTAATCTCTCTTCACCAAGTTTAATGGACTCTATAACCACTCCGTCCTCTCCAGGTGTTTTATTATTCTTCATTTTCCTCATTGAATGATAGATATATCTGGTATGGACAGATATGTTTGGTTTTTTGTCTGACCATTGATTTAAAACCCTTGGGTATCATGCACTTACACCTATCTCCTCTTGGCTTCCTTGGCAACTATAAAGCTCCCAGTAGAATTCTCTGTAATCTGCAGTGACTTTTTCTTATTCCGTGTGGGGTTGCTAGTTCCCACAGGACGCCTCTCTAGGTGGTGGATAGGGAAATGCCTCCCAGATATAGGTGGTATCGGGAAAATCAAATATCCGGGGGACCAAAACTGGCAGCAGCTTCTGACCCAGAGTGGCCGGGTGCAAACAGCGTCTAATCCAGATGGGGCGGCTGAATTATGCAACTCGCCAAGCCTCTTGGCAAGCTAAATGGCGTTTTATTTGCTAAAATACCCTCAAAATGACATTACAGATACGTTATATTCAAAGACGAAACTCCAAGCCAGTAGGACAAATTGACGACCATAGGTTGGTCGGTCTCAAAGATTCTGGGGGATACAAAAACTCGACGTCCAAACCTTTTACGAGATCAAAAAGTAAAATAATAACTTTAAGAATTGCAACATACTACTCCAGAACATTGGCATCAGAAGAAATTCTTTATGCCCCAACAACCGCCTAGGAAGGCAAAGAGGTTCAGGAATTCTACGAATATATTATGAAGGCATTTTGCGACTCCTGCGCAAAAGTTGGGAGGACACAAGAAATGTCGGAGACTATATGGGGCAATTTTGCCCAAGGAGAACGGAACGAAAGATGAGATATGTTGATTAATATTCTTCTTCAAAAAAATTTGTACCTCATAAACCACTTTTTCCAGGAAAAAGAACAACGTACATGGGAAAAGAAAACATGAACTCAACTACATAATAACAGACAAAAAGCAATCTGGAGCTGACGTTACCTCGCTCGGATTATTTTATCCTGGAGTACTTGATACAAGGAAGAACATAAAATGGCGACAGAGAAAAATTCCAAGAGATGCACCACAACTAAAGACACAGAAAAATTTTCAAGAATAGTATCGGTTAATTTTGACAAGATCCTGATTAACGTAAGAGACTACCCATACTAGATGCAGTCAATAGTACAGGGAATTAATTTGGTACGAAAACAGGCAAAAATTATAACAAGCTTGGACAACGTACCAAAGACCTCATGAGGTTAACCCGAGAGCATCTGAGAAGCTTGAATAAATCTATATTTAAGGAAGCAAGAAAGGATTTAAGAAAGTTCAACGGGGATAGTATTAAACAACCTATAGAAAGAAGGTGTGAAAAATATATCTTGGATATGAAGAAAATAGAAGCATGAAGTTACTCAGAAAGAACACCTCAAGTGGCAAAAAAGAAATACTAGCCCTCCATGATAAAACTGGTACACAAATGAATAACAGGGATAAAAATGTTACGCGACAGTAATACGGATTTCATCAAATCTCTGGAAGGAATCCTCAATTTCATCTATGATAATTCAGGAAAATTACCTCCTGACTGGTTAGTGTCTTCTTTTATTGCCTTCCCTTAAAAGTCTCGAGTAAATGCTTTCGATCAATACAGACTCATTAGTCTCATTAACGACATCGTCAAGTTGAGCACCAAGATCATTCACAGCAGAATGTATAGAAAATTTGACTTATAGACTCAATTTGGCTTTAGAAGTACCTTGTCAACTGGAGAGACAATCTTTTCATTACAGGTTCTAGGGCAACTTAGTAGCGACATGAACCGCGATGTGTACGCATGTTTTATATATTTGTCAACAGCTTTTGACACAATATAACACACAAGGTTAGTAGAAAAATGAGGGAAGTAGCGCATTGACTGCAAAGATATACGAATTATAACGAATTTATTTGGACCCAATCAGCCTACGTGAACATTGCCGGAAACAAAACAGAAGAGGTGACGATTAAAAGAAGCGTAGGTCAGGGGGTGCGTCCTGTCGCCGACCTTATTTAATATCCAATATGAAAATATATTTCGGCAGGCAGGGGAAGACTCCCGAAGGGATTAAAATGAACGGCGACCACATAAACAGCATCAGATACGCAGATGATATTGTTATCCTCGCAAGTCGCCCAGCGGAATTTCAAACTGTTCTTGAACTTATTAATACAACGATACTATATAGCTTTAATACAAAACATATGCCTATCAGCAGAAACGCCCAGCCTCCTATGGTTTTGACTTGAAATCTAGAAATTATTGAACGAGTCGAGAGAAACACTTACTTGGGATCAATGGCTAATGCAAACTGGAATTAGTCCGTAGAAATTAGACGCAGAATCGAGAAGGCGAGATCTGTATTTAATAAAAGTTAAACACTTTTCGTCAGCAAAAATCTAAGCCTACAACTGAAAATAAATATGGTCAGATGTTACATCCTTCTAGCTTTTTGTACGGCACTGAGGCGTGGACCATGGCCAAGCTCGAAGCGCTCGAAATGTGGATATACCGGAGAATTCTGCGCATCTCATGGATCGAGCATATAACTAGCGAAAAGGTACTTAGAAGAATGGAGGAAACGAAACACGTAGCATCCACAGTGAACAGAAGAAGAATCGAGTACTTCGGACATACTATGAGGAACAATAAATGTGGTTTGTGGTCCAGTGGTTTGGGATGATTATTTACAATTATTTAGCCAGGAATCTGATAGAATACGAATGTCCATTTTTGGCTCTGCTGCTTCAGTGCAATTTGCCAGCTCGCTCATATTTTTCTTGATCTGTATATCCACGGCTAGGAATTCGAACTTCGGACCACGGACCTTCAGGTTGCTAGCCTGTCGGTCTGATCACTCGTCCACCATGCCGGCAATGTCCATGTTAATCGCCAACGTTCGCAGAGGATAAGGCACCAAAAGAGGAAAAATAAGAAGAATAAGCTTCTGGACGGAAGCTCGACAAGACTGCTGCGCCTTATTCAAGAAACGAAAATCATGTTTCCTTGATAATAAACATCGCAATGAATGTAGTGCTTGTAACAACTGTATTGCTTGTTAATTTTTGACTTCGTATAAATAAAAATTATGAATACAATAATATTTATTAGAAGGGTTTGTCTATATTTGAAAGTAGATACGAAAAATGTTACCATATGCTCGTCAAAATTATGTTTTTTTTCGCAAAATATACTAAATTATCAACTTGAAAAAATAAATCGTAGGCTAAAAAACAAATTTCAGACTAACTAACCAAGCATGTTACTTGATACTCTTAGAATGAATTACAAACGCCGCATCCTTCTGGACGCCTATGAGCCTAAAATAAAAATACTCATTGTCACCGTTTAGATATTTGTGATATAAAATGATCAATGCTGTTTGTATTCAAAATGATCCAAATGGCTTTCCCTTTATGCAGTCGACAGTTTAGTTAAAGTCGCCAGTTAATGCAAACAACAGTTCTTGAAAATTTTATTAAGAGGGCAAATCTGATCTATTTATTCTTTATTCAGATTTTCATTCACATTACTCATAAAAGTATTAATATTGGGTCATAAATCAATAAATGTTTCAAACTTATGCCACAAATTTATACGTTTTACTTGAAAATCAAACTTGCTTTTCTTATTGGAGCACCTTTTAGCGCAGTTGAAGCCTTCTAAAGTTTGATTCATTAATATAAATATACCTGATATTGACCAATTGAAGCAACTTGTATCAAGTAAGAACTGGAAATCTGCTCGATTCAATTGAACGAAACGTACCCGGATAAACCTAATAAGCTACAGATAAATTATACAACCGGTGACTGTGTTACATGGACTCCATCTGTTCTGTTAATTCTAAAATGGGAATTTCTCGTAGTGGCAGCAACGGCGGCCAAACGCTCCCTTGCGTATTTGTCGGCGTTGGCAAACTTGAAGGCCCCTGCAGAACACGAAAACTTGTGGATCACAAAATAATATTGATACGAATAAGCTCATGCGATGTTTAATGCAATTCACTACATGCAATGAATTTAATGTTTTCAAAACTTACCTAAAATGCCTTTTGTAATAACGTAATACTTTTAGCAACAAAACATTGTGTCCATGCCAATTTTCAACAATTCTGGCAGAAGCCGCGTCAAAAGATTTCATAAAAGTGTCCTTCTTTATTCTTTTCAATAAAGTTTCATTTCTTAAATTGAAGCCTAAATGAAACCGCACAAAACTCAATTTCAAAAAAGTTGAAAATTATGTTTATTAAACAAAACTTGCAAAGTGAATCACATCACAAGCAAAATAAAAGCGCAGTTCCTTTAACAGGACTTAACATATAAGTATACGAACTACAGAAGGAAATGGTTTGGAAACGAATATATTTTTTCGTCATAAATTCTAGAAAATTCCCAGTAACAGTAATATAATAAATTTTTCAGATGAATTATTCTTTTACTGTTTACTGTTTACTTAGTAATGTCGAGTATACCGGATGACAGTACAAAAATTACAACAAAATTGATACGAATGTAACTTGAATATTTATTAAGTTTGAAACTTTTTATTGTTCTTATTCTATTCTCCGTTAAATTAATGCATATAAGCCCTGTTTCAACTTTATTCAACACTTTTAAGCTACTGTATGAAGATGTCAAACCGAAGAGAGAAATGTTGGCATTACGTGAGTTGAAAAAGCGTCTGATCGATATTGCGCAAACGCTCGGCGTCGACAAATCTAACGTCCGACTAACCATCAAGAAGTTTGAAGATCTCGGCCATATTGGTCCCCGTCCAGGAAGTGGCGGAAAACGCTTCGTCAAAACCGCCAAGAACGAGGAGCTCGTTAGAGAACGTGTGAGGCGAAATCCGAGGGTCTCCATCAGAGAAAGTGCTCGCGAGACTGATATCAATCGGGAATCAATCCGCCTAATAGCCAGAGAAGATCGCCATCTCAAGCCCTACAAGCTCCAAAATGTCAGCTCCTCAATGAGTACAACAAGCTCGTACGGCTTGAAAGATGCAAACGACTCCTTCGTCGCCACGCCTCCCATCAGTGGGAGAAAATCCTATCCACGGATCAGGAGCTGTTCACCGTTGAACAAGCCCACAATCACCAGAATAATAGGAGCTGGTCCGCGGAGGCCCCCGGTACATCGGCCATCGTTGACCATTTAATCGAACCTAATCATTGATTAGACAGGTGGGCAAAATAAAAATAACGAAAAATTTGCACATACGTATTTCATTATTTACCTTTTTTTTATTTAGTTTATAGGAGTTTATTATTATTGTTGACCTAGGGGGAGAAATATAACTTCTCACTAAGGAAATGGAGTAAATACTGGTGTGACCTCTCAGATTGGTAGTTAAAATAGCTATTTATGTACCAAGGGCGTTACGGACCTTATAATGCCCTGAGGGCCGAACTAGCCCGAGGGCCTTTGGCCCGAGGGATAGGTTTCGGCCTGATGGGCATTATTATCTCCGTAACGCCTGTGGTGCATACAATGCTTTATGTTTCACCTAATAGCCTTACCATTTAAAAAAAGCATATTTGTACCGGTTTGACGTAATTTGTTAATTTCTGATTTTAATCTGACGGACTTTGACTCCTGTCAATGAGCAGTAATTTATTGCATAAAATGGAAGAAATTCCAGAAAATATTATAAAAAACGCAGCAAAAGCTACGGAAGATTTGTTGCCGATAAAGTCAAGGGCATATTATGATAGAGAGTATGGCATATTTATTATTTGGAAGGATAAAAATGCCAT